GAGTAAGGCTGACAACTTCACCGCCATCTGTGAGCCAATTGTCTAGACAATGTGAGAGCCTAGACGTTTCACAACCCTGTGGGCCTCCACGGCCTGTTACAGTGGTAGATTTACCGATACTTTTAACTTGTTATCTTTCCGAATATACCCGAATATTACAGACTATAATTAAACGAAGCTTCGACCAATCTGAATTTATAGGGCTGGTTGTACATAACATACATTTCATTTATATAATTTGTCGTACTGGACATAGAAACAACATTACAGTCCGCGGTGTGGGGGTTATGGATGATACACGATGGGTACTGGTGACCTGTGACCGCTTCAGTGTCCGAAAGTATCAGCGACAACGACAGTTGCCAAGTGCGACAGTGGTCGCAAAGAACCATGCGATCAACCTACTGTAAGTGTCAAACTAGTTGCTCAAAGGATCAGTCAGACAGACAAAATGGTGATCTCAGCACGACCATGGAAAAAATATTATATTAAAATGGGGTCCTGAAATATATTCTCTCGGGATGGTAAGGGCCAGGGAGTTGTTTTAGTAGATGCAGATCCCATGTGGAGGTGGGGTCGACTACCTCCACCGTAGCCCTGCGAGTTGCAGGATGCAACGAGAAAGGAAGTCTCGAATCTGAGAGAGTAAAACATGGTCACCCGAGAATGACTGCGCTGGCGAGGGCCAGCAGTAATTGTAAACGACAGACACGTCCTCTCGTCAGAGAGCGCCCCATCTCAACGAACGCGCAACTGTCTGACAGCAATAAGAATCTCGTCGTAAACCCCAGATGGGTGATTTTTTTCCAAAATCCACTAGCCGACTGACCGTCGGTTGTATCATAAGACTCAGACTCAGTAGATGCAGTCACTGAAGCAAAGAGGAAACGTTAAAGGAATGGCTCCATGTGAAGGATGTCTTTGAAAGTAAAGAGTATGGCAGGATTGCTCATACGTAAAAAGTATGAAAATAATGTGGCGTGCATACCCTTTGCTTGGCAAAGACCTCGAGACAAGCAACGAGTATAGCCGTTGCTAGGCAGTAGGAGAATAAACACCTGGCCGTTTCTGAACAACGGCTTGGTAAACACGTTCCCGTGGAAAAGAACACGCGCGCAACAATAGAAGAACTGTGTTTTCGATGTGGTCTTCGTCGAAAAGTTGTCTTGAAGACAATTAAATTGACCAATTCAGACCCGTGTGGAGGCGGGGTCGAATACCACCGCCGTGACCCTGCGAGTGGCAGAAGGCGACGAAAAAGGAAGTCTCAAATCTGAGACAGTAGAATATTGTCGCGAGTCCCAAGGGACTCGGACCTGAGAGCGACTGCGCTGTCAAAGGCCAGCAGCATATACAAAATACAGACTCGTTCTCTCGTCAGAGAGGTCGCTCCACAAAAACAAAAAAACCGTAACTGTCAAACAGTAATAAAAATCTGGTCATGAGCCCCAGATGGGGCTCGATAGCAAGACTTACTGACTGACTGACTGACCGTCAGTCGCAATGTGACTTTGACTTTGACTGTGACTTTGACCAGTTCATTTATCAGTTGAGGGTTGGCAGCTCAATTGAGCTTTGCAATGGAGGCTGAGAAGAGATGGCGCAATAGTTTAGTTGACAGTTGACAGCTGACAGGAGTTCTGTACGTGACTCGAGCACGGAAACAGAGGAAGAGTTTGTTAAAATCCGTTATCAAGCAGTGGCTAGTGAAGACTGTAACAGATTGACTAAGCTCTAAACTTTGTCCTGCTTGTAACACCTCCGCACGGACCGCGTAGAAAACACCACTCATTGTTTTATTCATTGTTTCGTGCTGAGCCATTGGCGCGGACTGCGCAGGAAACGCCGCTTTCCACTCAGTCCAGTGGAGCGCACTGACATTTATATTGTAGAAATTCTTTAGTGACAGACTTCGGGATGTTAAGACTTTGGAATATTTTACTGATATGATACCATTTGTTAACATGTAAGCATTTAATTCCATAGCGTAAAGATGGTACGGCCTAAATCCCATAATACTTATTACATTTTAATCGTTACAGTCCAGTATCGAGTGTTTCTGAACCACAGAATACTGCACAGATCTCTAGCGGCTATAAAATTAAAAGAAGACCGTCTCTGTGGTCTAGTGGTCAGAGTTCCTGGCTACAGATTCAGAGGTCCCAAGTTCGATTCCCGGCGCTACCAGATTTTCTGAGAAGTAGTGGGTCTCAAACGGGATCCACTCAGCCACTTGAGGATAATTGAGGAGCTATTTCAAGGAAATAGCGGCTCCGGTCTAGAAAACTGAGATTAACTGCCGTGGGGATCCGTTGAGCTGACCACCTGACACCCTCTATCCGCTAAATTTGGCACTAACTTCGCCGAAATGCGGAGGTCGCTCGGTCGATATAGTTCGCTTGCGGACTACAGGCTACGGAGTTTTTTACGGTTGTGAAGATTCGTAGGCCTAGTATAGTCGCCTGGGTTGTGATATCGTGTAGTCTGGTATTTCCCCGTCTTCTACACTGAATCTTTGATAACCACCTACCAGACTGCACGGTGTCATACACCAGAAGAAAGCAGTATGAATGGTAGGGTGTTCATGGCTGGCGAATAGGTTTCCGAAGAATTCGGTCGTGGCTTATTTGAACGTTTATCCAAAGAAAAATGTCTGTTACGAAAGTAAATTATTCGAGCCAGATTCTGACTGGTTACATCCCAGATACCGCCACTCTAACCTGATCTATAACCTAGATATGACTGCCAGATGATATTAGTCCCATGTGAATGTTCAATTAAGAAGGATGTGTCAGTAGTTGTGACCGATCGTAGGTCATTCATGTTATGCTCGAACCGAGTATCCGGAGAGCCGGGAATCCATTCTTGTCAGGTGCAGGGACTTTCCTTTCTGCCTTGGTGTTCAGACTGACCCTGGGGTCTTCACTGCTTCCTTTCCACTGGGCTGTTTCATCAGGGGTGAGGCGACCGGAGCGCGGAGCTCAATTTCGATTAGTGCAGAGGTTAAGTATGCTCAGGGATACCGTCGCTCCCACATAACCTTCATGGCGTATTGTTTGTACATGGAGGAACTGTATACGTTTGCCGGCAGCGTGGCAGCCAATGGGCGTCCGCTGCTATCATGTGGTGTTGACGTTGGGGGGGGGGCACGCTCAGCGGCACGAAGCGAGCGTCATTTGCTTCCACAGCGAAACGCGAACGTAAACTGCGTTACCAAATTCAGTGGTCAAATATTGAAATAAACCAAACAGCTGAGGTGTAATTGATAGTAGGTTACATTATGTATGCACCTGCCCCCTCTTGGTGACAGTGACTGCTGAAGTTGACATTTTATATTTCATTTCCCCTGCTCGGGAGCCTGTGTAGCTCAGTAGGTACAGTCACAAAACTTACAGGATGCACGACCCAGGAACCGGCATACGATTCTTGGCTGGGGGAAAGAAGGCGTTTTCAGATCGACTTTAGGGCCCACTCAGTTCCCTATCCGAAATGTGCTGAGGGCTTATACTGGAGAGTAAAGCTCTATGAACTGCTGAAGTTAAGCATTCATGGACCTACACCTTCATTCTCCCATACGCATTCATGACGTAGTGCTTAATTAAGCACAGGGATAATTTTATGTTTACATTTACGTGCAGAAGAATACAGAGAAATTTAAAGTTGTTGCTGTGCTTAATTAAACATAAGGCCTGAAGATGTACGGAGGAGTGGATGTATATCTCCACACATTAACATTTTTGCTAGATGGATGTAAACATTCACCTTCAAGCCCTGGCTCTTTTAGACTCCTGTACCCACTGGATGGGAGGCTGGGTGAGCCTCAGAGCCGGTCAGAGTTATCATCAGATAGTGACGTGGATACTTGCATCGTTATTAGGAATTTACAAAATTTCTGTTCCCATCAGGAACGAGAATTGCCATGCCGGAGATCGCTTTGAGAAACACGGGATTTTTCTTCCGTAAGGTTGCGTACTCATGGCATGAAGTACCCTCACAGATGTTTCAGATGGAAAGTATGAATTCTGTGATGGAAGACCTAAAACTATCATCATCGGAGATATAGCATTGTGAGCTCGTATATGCATTATGGGTGTAGAGACAGATTGTGGAGGGAGATGAGTTTATGGAATAAAGTTTACGTTATTGCCTAGTGATACAGACCAATTTCTTGTTTTTTGAACGACTTAGCATAGCGAAATCTTCACGTTTTACGCCCTGGAAATAAAGTTTATTCACTCTTGTTGCCTTCTGTCCCGATTCTATATCTTGCCCTAACACTGTTAAACACAAATTATCTTACATATAAAGGCCAATTTTGTCAGTTTGTATTTTCTGTCACAGCAAGAGTTACTGTCACCGAGAACGGCGTCTCGAACATGAGTTAGACGTGTGGGAGGCTTGTGCACAAGGGAGATTGTTATAGACGTTTCAAAATGTCACATTAGAGCACATCCTTGCTAATCCGGGTTAATTAGGGGAATTAGTGAAGCAAAATGTAGCCCTAAAAGACAAAACAAAATTAGAACATTAATAACTGGAAAATTTGATGATATAAATAGTGATGATGGAAATAAATAAAAACATAACTGTAGAGCCTTTATTTAAAAATATTGATGATGAAAAACTCGAAAGTTGTAGTTGTTTCTGTACGTAATAATGCAGATTTGAAGAACCCGTCCAAATTTTGTCCCAACAGGCAACTGACTCATTTGCCTTTCCTACATGCCATGTGTCTTGTAATGTACTCAACTGTGGATAATATTTTTTATTTCTCTTATTTCGATCCGGAATAACTGCAACCGGATTAGCGAGGATTTGCTGTATTACTTTACGGAAACAAAGTTTCCGGTTATTTGGCGAAGTTAGTTCAGAATGTGTTCCATTGTTGCAAGGAGCAATGCAAATTGAAGGTACGACTGAGAGCAGCATGGATCGCTGCAGTCGCACTGAGCAGATCGGACGCATATAGGAGGCTGTGCCAGCTAGTCAGTCGCGTCCTGCCCAGCGCGCGCGGAAGTTAGTGTTGTGGTGTTCTGTGTGCATGGCTGCGATGCTTGGCTTTCTGGTGTTTCTGGTCGCTTTGACGACAGGGTTGGCTGAAGCCCAGTGTCCTGCCAGGTGTCTGTGTTTCCGTACGACAGTCAGATGCATGTTTCTGCAGCTGGACAGCGTTCCAGAGGTGCCCCCAGAGACAACGATCCTGTGAGTAACAGACTCTCTTGAGACATTAAAACGGATACAAGATGTATATATTTGACTGAATGGTGGCATGGCGTAATAAACATACTCCAAAGCATAAGCAAATGGGCCAGTAAGTCAAGGAGGTTAGGGGAATATATTTGGCAATCACAGTGGTCGTGCGGCCTAAGGCATGAACTGTCTTCGCTTGCTCGTAAGCTGGGATCGTGGGTTCGAATCCAGCTCCAGGCATGGATGTCTGTATTGTGTGCGTTTAGCCTGTGTTTATATTGTTCTCTGTGTAGGTAGAGGCCTTGCAGCAGGCTGATCCCTCGTCCATGGAATACTACAGACTGTATAGGATCAAGAAATTGAAAAAGCGGCCGAAGCCCAGCAAAGGGTTGTAGAGCCATGATGATGATGATGATGATTATTATTATTATGATTATGATAAGGGAATATCTTTAGGTCAGACGACGTCTGTGTCAACCGAAGATGATAAATGCGTAATTCGATAATTTGATTTGTAAACAAATGTAAACTATTGTGTTCCCTTTTTGTCAGTTGGTTACATATTATGAGGCAAACAGTTGGTACTGTGGTATGAATGAAATCCTTAAGATTAATGTCTGAATTAAATTATATGAACATGTAAACTGGCGAATTCCTGCATTATTAAATGAAAGGGTGAATTGGTGTATTAGGGAGCAAATGAATGCGTCTTATGACATGTGACATAATGCACCGCAAAAAAATGTACATTGTGATTGCTGGTAGTATGGGGGCCGGCAGAAGGTTTCATGTCAGTCATATGCCCCATCCCCCTCCATGATTAGAAAGAAAATCGAAATAAATATGCCGAAAATTAACGCCAAAAATTAGAATAATTTGAAACGATCCGTAAAAATATTCTTAAACGGCATAAACGTAAGTTTGTAATCAGATTTCTCCACCCCCCGAAACAGTTTTAACGGCACCTTTGGCGGGATGGGTTAGTCTCTAGTGTTAATTATTGGGGTGGGGGATATTCGTCATAAAGTTTTTTTTTTTTTCTGCTATGAATAACAACGAAAGAAACGGCGATCCAAGTTATACGAGTTAAGTAAGCGGACATACCTTCCAGTGGCTGGGCGCCCACAAGGCCGGTCGGAGTGATGTGCTTGTTTGTCGTTTCAGCATCATTCGATTCTGTGCAGAATATTGTTGCGATATTAACAGGGTCTGACGTGCCGATGAGCGAATGAATATCCATATAGTTTAAAACATTTTAAACATGATTAATTATATTTCTTTTAAGTTTAAATTATTTTATTCATATATACAAAACTATAATTTTGCCTGTGGTTCTATATGGGTGTGGTCTCTGACATTAAAGGACGAACATAGACTGAGGGTGTTTGAGAACAGGGTGTTGAGGAGAATATTTGGACCGAAGAGAGATGAAGTGACAGGAGGTTGGAGAAAACTGCATAATGAGGAGCTTCTTAACTTGTATTATTCTTCAAGTATAATTAGAATGATCAAGTCAAGGAGGATGAGGTGGGCAGGGCATGTAGCACGAATGGGGGAGCAGAGGAATGCATATAGAATGTTGGTGGGAAAGCCAGAAGGAAGGAGACTACTGGAAAGACCAAGGGGTATGTGGTTGAACAATATTAAAACGGGTCTTAGAGAGATAGAATGGGATGGTATGGATTGGGTTTATCTGGCTCAGGGTATGGACCAGTGGAGTGCTCTTGTGAACACGACAATGAACCCTCGAGTTTCATAAAATGCTGGGAAATTCTTGAGTAACTGCAGAATTGGCGGCTCCTCAAGAAGGGCTCAGCTCCATGAGTAAGTGATATCACGTAATATTATAAGAACTCCACAGTGTTGCGGATCATTTGGTGTGAGCACCTCCAGTTTGAAGAGCACTCGCTAACAAGAATCTGTTTCCAATCAAATATCAGATTTTAAAAGCCGTGAATAAACATATCATGGCCTTGTGGCTTATGACACCATGTGCTTTTTATATATGTATATTGTATGTTATAAATTAATGACGCTGTCAGTTTCTGAGACTATATAACGTCGAATGGCAGGCTGATTAATGAATTATTCATTGGAAAGGAGGATATTGGTCCTGGCGTAATCTAAGGTATTATTATTTCCCTGAAGGAACTGAGGTAAACCACGTGAAAGTTATACCCGAATGACAGGCCTGTCGGCCCAGATATGAAACCGGGACCATCGAAACTCACAGTAGGAGAGGAAACCAAATTATCCTCGACGTTAGCAGGGTAGCGTCGTCTTTCGAAACGTCGGAACCCACCTACCCGACTACAGAGTGTGAACCTAAAGACCGGAATGATTCGCCTTTTGATGATTTATACCTCAAGAAATCCATTAAGATGACGAAGTCGCAAGAATGCCCCTATTTGCTACTGCCGCTCACAGCAACAGTGCCCTGGAGTGCTACAGTATCGATCCTTACGAGAGACGTAATTTACGGAGTTCATAATACGCCACGTCGTCTTGTTATTCAGGGTGAAGCAAAATTGGCACACAAGTACTCCATAGGGCGATTCATTGTTAAAATAAGTATAACATGCCACAGAACGTACGCCGTGAGACTCCTATTTTTCAAGAGACATGTCGCCGTCAAATGGGGCAGCATACTTAGCATTATTATTTGTCACGACGGTACATAGCGCGTTGATAGGTGTACTCAAGACACACAGCGCGCAGCAGGGACCCGAACACACACACACACACACGAAGAATAGTCATGCTCGTAACCCCTTGGCATGTGTAATAGTCGAGCTGGTAAGGCTCCAAGAGGATATGCGCTGCCTTATCCTGGTTGCCACCCGCGTGAATCCAGGTGGCGCACACGCTGTTACGGACACGAACCAAACAACATGCCGTAACAGCAGTTGTGGAGGGAAAGCCATGGAGAATTTCACGCGATACTGAACTGGGCCTGTCCCAAACAGTAGTCCCCAGAATATTTCATGACGATCAGTTACATTCATACTACTACTAGCGGAGTGTACGTCTATTGTCTAGATCAGGGATCTCCAAACTTTTCGAATCGCGGGCCACATTAGGTAACTCAGCACTCTCAACGGGCTGGATAAAATGAGAAATTAATAACTCTAGGTACTGGATGTGCTCGGAGACTTCAAATTAGGAGGGCAAATTATTCAAACTGTGAAATATGCAGATGACCTTGTGTTAATGGCTAAGGAAGAAACTGCTACAGGGTATGATTGCTAGACTAATTGAAATTGGAAGGTGCTATGGCATGAAAATGAATGTGGAGAAAACAAAAGTAATGAAAATTTCGAGACAACTAACCTCAGTCACAATAAAGATAGACCAAAAACAACTGGAGAATGTGAAATGTTTTAAATATTTGGGTAGCTTGTTAACAGATGATGGAAGGTGTACTAGTGAAATTAAATCCAGGATTGCCATGGCAAAAGCTGCATTAGCAAGAAGAAGAATCTTTTTACCAGCAAATTGGACTTAAATTTGAGGAAGAAACTAGTGAAATGCTACATTTGGAGCATAGCTTTGTATGGGGCTGAAACATGGACACTTAGGGCAGTAGATCAGAAACATCTGGAAAGTTTCGAAATGTGGTGTTGGAGAAGGATGGAGAAGATCAGTTGGACCGATTATGTGAGAAATGAAGAAGTGTTATTTAGAGTCAGTGAGCAGAGGAATATCCTACACGAAATAAGAAAACGGAAGGCTAATTGGATTGGTCATGTTTTACGCAGAAACTGCCTTCTAAAAGAAGTTATCGAAGGAAAGACAGAGGGGCGGATAGAAGTGACAAGAAGACGAGGAAGAAGACATAAGAAGAAGCTGGATGACCTTGGGGACAGAAGAGGATACTGTCATTTGAAGGAGAAAGCTCTAGATCGCATTAAATGGAGGAATTGTTTTGGAAGAGACTGTGGACCTGTCGTCTTGACAGATTACTGATGATGATGATATGAGTTTTATTGAAAGCACAGAATGTCATAAACTAAATACAAAGTACGTGAGAATAAATTATCGTATATTAATTACAACAAACAGTAGCAGCAAATGCTCATATTTTCATCACAAACAATAAAAAAACAATTAATGTGAATGATGGAACTCTTTTTGCATTCTTAAATCTGATTAAATTGAGGTTCAAATTTTGAAACGCTAATCACAAGTAGCGACTTTAAATGTTCATCGGATAAATTTGCCCTGTATTTCGACTTGATGTACTTCATCTGGGAAAAAGTTTGTTCACACAGATATGTCGTCCAAAAAATGGAGATAAATTTACAAGCAAATTTCCTTCTTGTGTTTGTCTTTAATATGAAAATTTTCCTGAAGTTCAATAATTTCCATTTGAATTTGACTTGGGACATCTGCAGCATCACAGTCAAATGGATTTTGAAACAATCTAATTTCCTGAGCACTGGAATCCAAATCAGCAAATCGCTTCCGAAATTGTTCTTTCAAATCTGAATCTGACTAAATTTGCAAACGAGGAAGGGAATTCTGGTTCACCCTTTTTGTGCAACTCTGCACACTGTAGCATATGAACAAAGTTACAATTTTTCGCTTGCCTTTCCAGTAGTATCAACTTTGCTCTGAATGCCTCGATAAGTGCAAATAAATCACAGACTAAGTTATTTTCACCCTGCAACTTTAAATTCAAATGGTTCATATGGTTCACGAGATCAGCAAAAAATGCTAATTTCCAAAGCCACTCGGTATCTGTTAAAAGTGGTTCGTGATGGTTTTTCTCGGTAAGATATATATCAATTTCATTCCTGAGCTGAAAGAAGCGCGAAAGAACCTTTCCACAGCTAAGCCATCGAGCTGCAGTATGATATGTCAGGTCAATAAGCTCGGAATCACATTTACCAGTACTCATTGGAAAATAAGTTCAATTGGCGCATTTCTGCACAATTCTTTCGCGGGCCGGATAAAGTCATCGCGGGCCATAGTTTGGAGACCCTTGGTCTAGATGGTCGTTCTCTACGAAA